GGGACGACTCACCATCGCTCCGATAAAAACTAGTCGCGCCTCCAACATTCGGACATGTTAATACGCCCCGTGTAATGCATAACCGTCATGCGATGCTTCTCGTCCGCAAATTGTAGTAATAACGTGCACAACGTCGGGCGTAGAGACAGGTCGAGACGGTGACCAGTGGAAGAACGATGCGCTCGCTCTTATTTTCGCGCTCCTTTCGCGCGCCACGACACCGCCGCGCGTCCATTTCTCACGGATTAAATGCACCGCGACCGTCCGGCGTATATACTCGCGCGTGATACGGAAGAAGACACGTATATACGTGTGAGCGTTTGCTGGAAGACACTCGTCCAGAGTCATTTTATTTCAATTTCATGGCAATCCACCGTCGAAGCACCGTGTTCTTGATGTCTTGAATTAGCTTAGTTATTAAATACGAGCGAGAATAAAATGGAATTGCCCGATTATTTATTCGATAATTACGATTATGATTTGGATGTCAATTATATGTACACGGAAAGGATGATTTTTCTGATGAATATAAAATATGGAAATTTAAATTCTTGTAAAGTGTAAAAAATTTCGTTAGACAGATCTGAAAATAATTTTTTCAAATTTTTTTGCAGTACTGTTTATCAAACTTGAGTTTTTTGCTTATTATAATCTAACAAAATTATTTTTAAATCTGTTAGCTAAATTTACATTCATAACACTCATATATGTATTATAAATTATAATTTTCATTTTTTATTTTACATTATTTCTTATTTTCATAATTAATTAATCGCGATATTTTATTTCCATATTTTTTATTATTTTTCAGCAATATAGAATTATATTAATTATAATTTAAAATTTATGTTAATTATAAATATATTAGCTTGTTTTTTCAAGGTTGTAATAAAAAAATGCGAGTTTATATTTAAGAAACACTAATACAGTTTTATTTTAATGTTGACGTGAATAATAGAACAAAATCGTTATTAACGAAATAAAGATAAAGAAACAATAATGCGTTAAGTTAAGAATCTCGTTCCACAATGCTCTTGGCCATTGCTTTATTTTCCACGTCAAACGAAACTGCAATCCCGCCGTACATTCTTATTTTTTTTCCAACGGAATTTCCTGCGTTCGGGTGAAAAACTACGAAGCACACGCAACCGCGTAGCTTCTGCGCTGACGTTATTTGTGCATATGGCGTTTGAAGGTCTCTTCAACTGTGATAGAGAGGAAAGAGGGAGAGAGAGAGAGAGAGAGAGAGACGACTCGCGCGGCCAAACGACTCTACACGTGTCTCGTGTCATGAATATTTGTCTTTCGCATAAACTCTGCGAGATCAAACGGGCTGTCACGGTGGTCTAGAAATTGCATCACGTGTGCCACGTCGCGTCGCCCACGCTAAAGAGATGCGCGATGCAACACCCGATACAGCCGTCGTTCTCGGATATCGGAACGTATCGTCCCACCAGGTATCACCAATGGCATTAACGTCTCGCGCGTTATCTCGTCGCTGAGAAAGCGTGAGATATACACGAATCGTTATTACTCCGCACTCGACGCGGCAAGAATTTCCTTCTTCTACGGTACACTCCGCACTTGCTGGTGGTGATTAAGGACACAGCGGTGTCGCAACCTTCATGCCTCCGTTCGTAATCGAGCCGCGAATTAGCGATCATCGGTGGAAAAGCGTTATCCCCGACCGAGGGAACGGGCGGCAAAGTAAATGGCATCCAGACGCACCTGCGCGATTTCTTTTCCCGTATTTATCATATATATTTCGAAATGAAGAAATTCTCTCTCGGCGCGCGAGAGAGAGGTTTCTTGCCTTCCGGGCTTAAGCAACGCCTTATGCCCGTTTTTTATATCAATGTGGATTACTTGAATTTCAGTTCGATTTACTCTTCGTCTTTTTCTAATCTTTGACACTAGAAAAAGATGAAGAGAGTTGAAACGAGATTAAAGTTAAATTGCTGGTGGGAACGAGCACTATAGAGTAGGACGGGGCTATTTTGTCAGTTCCAATATTTTAAAGCAATATTTCTCTTTGCAGCAACGTGCTTACAATTACTTTATTTTATACAATCATGACTTTCAAATATTCGATACATGTATATACTGTTTAGAAACATTATCGCGCTAGAAATGGATGAAAAAACTCTCTACCGTAAATCGTAGATTTTCGCCGCAAGAAGCAAATCCGCATCTCTCTGCGTCCAGAGTATGTTATTTAATGCCGCGTTTGCGCGTGCTTTATCAACAGTAGAGGATTGCATGACAGTACGATGACGCAACTCGTAAAATACGACATCTCAATAGGCGTTTATCCATCGGCGCTCTGCAAAATCCACGAGATTAGCGCGTCATATCGTTTGTCTCCTCGGAACACTATACTCGTAGACGCGAGGACTCTTTGCCAGAAAGTCAGACAATGTACGGCGCGCGCCGTTTGATTTACCTTTAAATCCTCATGAATGCGTTTTATGAATGCGCCTCCGGCCGTGCCGTTCCATTGCAATCGTCTCGACGCGCGAATAATGTATCGCGCTCCCAGTGGCTTTTAGCAGCGTTGACTGCGCGAATTAATTTTGCAGGAAACACGTTAAGAATCACTCAAAGAAAGGCAATGCTCGTTTTTCCACGAGAAACGCGAGGGATACGACTGAAGATCTGTTCTTTGTCTCTGCATTAAAACATTCTATCTCGCTTTCGTCAATCTTCAAATATTTTATTTCAAATAAGTTGGAAAAAAACAGTTTTGCTGTCTAATAACTAAAAATTTTGCTGGATACAAATCTGAAAATAATTTTACTTGTATCATAAAAATAGTTATGTAGAACGCTCAAATTGATTGTAAAATGTTTAAACTTTTTTCAACGTTGTTATACAGAAAAATTTTCTAAAGTATTTAAAATAGCTACATACAGATCTGAAAATGATTTTTAGACATCAAAATGTAGTTTAAAATGGTGCTAGAATGCTAAAACTTTTTGGATCGTTATCATCAACATTTGAGTGTTCTAAATTTTTTTAATGGTCCAATAAAATTATTTTCGCTTTTTTATCTAACTAAATTTTGAGATATTTTAGTAAAATCGTTCTTTGCGTGTACAACAAGTGTATACTAATTTAGCGCTGTAACAAAAACAGACCTTAAGAGTCGACGGAGATGACGTACGCAGGGAAATTCGACTTTATTTTCCTACTCTCCTCGTTCGAAGCTGAATCTTATATGTTAGCTCCGAATTCGCGCTCGACGGAGACGCCACATTGTGTACCTATCTTCCGCCGCGCTTTATTCACGTTTAGCAGATGACAGCAGAATTTAATGCCACTGTTTGTTCTGCGCTGGGTAGGATACAGCGTTTTCGGAATATGTGGCGTCGTTCCGTTGTCACTGGAGGAGAAAGAGCGTTTCCCGCGAAATCCTTCGCGGTCGCCGACGCGAAAATACACGACACGATGTTTTCACGGCGAGAATAAATTCACTGGCGAAATTCGCCGTCCGAATTTTCTGAATCTTAACGGGCGAGATTTCTGGAGACGTTCCAAAACTTTAAAAACGGCGACCCTGAGAAGAACGGAGCCGTGACTCACGGGATCGTTGATAATCGCGAACGCGGCGACAACAATCGCGGGCTGAATGACGCGATGATCGAAATATCGTTCGCGATTTCCGAAAGTGATAGAAAGAAGATGTGTTGGCTGCGAAAATTTATTACACTGTGTCGAAAATAATTCGCAATAATTCCGACTGCACGTGCAGCGCTGTTTAGGTCAATAATTTCATCGCCAAACGCGAATAAACAACGTTCTCAGGTGTTTTCCATAAGATTAAGATTACGTTAGCAGCCATTTTCGATGATGGACCGAGGCCGACCGATCTTTTATTTTTGCGTGGTATTGTTCCCGACAGCTGCTCGCTGTAAGAATTGCACGCGAGGAGTCGTAAACCCGTGACTTCTCGTTCCAATACATCCTCAGGTCGGAGAAACTGATGTGAGAATGTGACGGGAAAGAGTGCCAACAAATCGTTCGTTGGACTTAAGTCGTCGCGCTATCGCGAAATACGAGACACTCCATCGTGATTCACCTTTCGAGTGGATAAGGCAATGATTATCCTGTGTGTGTGTGTGTGTGTGTGTGTGTGCGTGTGCGTGTGCGTGTGCGTGTGCGTGCGTGTGCGTGTGTGTGTGGTCTGTGTGTGTGATATGTGACGCAACATTAATTTCCTTCAGTCCCTCTCATTTTGAAACTTCTTGCGTTTCTTCTAAACCCGACTTTAAAACAAAAAATTTAATTGCACTCGTCCGGTTCTGATGTTCGCTTTAAAAATCGTAATGAGCGTGATATTTAATTGGCTTGCTTTAAGTTTTATTATTTTAAAATACAACCGCGTGGAACACATCGCGATAATGAAGTTTAATGATTCCAGAATCACTTTAAGAGTCGAAATGGAAGTGGAATATAATTTAAGATAAATATTATGTATATCGCGATTTATAAAATGGAATGATTACAATTAATTATGATATAACAGAATGACGCGGTAAATAACTTTGTTACACTACAGCTGAAGCAAATTCAGTCGTGTTTATTTCTTTCCAGTGCCGTGGATAGCTCAATAATATATAAACGTGTAATGGTTTTTCAGCCGATATTTTAACAGAGTTAATTGCCACTTAAATTGCTCTCTTAATAAAATATTTATTATATGTTTCTCAATCAGGACGAAATTACAAACAATTTCCAAAATATTGAAAACTTTAAAGACAATCATGAAATTTTGTCTGAAAATCAAGGAGAAATTATGAAATTTTTAGGATAAGAAATTTTGGCAACCCTGTTAACTTTTAAAAATTGATTTTTTTTTATTTTATAGGATACACATTCAGCTACATTTATTAAAAAAATATTTTTAAAGGCCGAATTTTATTTTATATTTAAGACAATCGTATAAAACTGCAACGGCGTATAATGTTGCGTTGTTATTATCTGAAACGAATTCTTTTCAGTTGCGAGGGATGCAAGGGGTTTTTCAAAAGGACTGTACGTAAGGATCTGTCGTATGCCTGCCGCGAGGAGAAATCCTGCATCATCGATAAACGACAGAGAAATCGCTGCCAGTACTGCCGGTACCAGAAGTGCCTGGCCATGGGGATGAAAAGGGAAGCAGTACAAGAGGAACGTCAACGCACCAAGGAGCGGGATCAGAGCGAGGTGGAGAGCACGAGCAGTTTGCACGCGGATATGCCGATCGAGCGCATCCTTGAGGCGGAGAAATGGATCGAGTATAAGATTGAACAGGGAAATTATGAGGTAAATATATATACGTTTGTGACGGAGGTGTCGCGTGTCAATGCATATCGCGTATTGTGACGGAGAAAAATAAAGTGGAAACTTAGATATATAGTGATGACGAAATGGTTGCTTAAGAGTGTATGGAACTATGTAAATATCGTTTAGAATCGTAGAATATATTATTCCTAAAAATAATCTTGTACAAATTTAAAATTTATTACGTATATATCAATTTATTGTCCACGATATGAGTTTAAATTTATCTCCTTCATTCACAATTTTTAATTCTCTGTAATTATACAGTCAATTATAACGTCAAGATATACATATGGAATAAAAATAGAGAGAGATCTTGGAATTTGATTACAAATCAATCGTTCTCATATGAGTTACTACATTATTCTAATTAAGGATTCATTAGGTTGTAATATGGTCAACGTGAATTCTTGTCATAAAAATAATATCTTTCGAAGTGTAGCTCAAACGTAATTTGGTTGAGATTTTATATACTATACTATTGCTCAAAAGTACAATATTTACTTATTCTGTTTTTCAATCAAATAAAGGAGAACAATTTTTAGTTTTTTTTCTATTTTTTTACATAGATGTTAGATTAAATATCTGATGACTCAAAATTTGATATTTTATATACGTTTTCTTATTCTTCAAAAGTAATACCACTAAAAAAATTAAGTTTCCTAGAAAAAGGGAAAAAATATTTTTTTATTTGACAGAAAATTATTGACTAATTAAATGACATAAACAATAAGAATTATTCTTAAGTAAATGTCATTTTTGTTTCACGACTATTAAAAATCACCGTTTTTGAGTTATGATAATTTGTACAATTTTTACGAAGTTTATTTACTTTTGATGAGACAATATTTATCTAAATTATTCAGAGTTAATAACTTGTGTTGCGCTTTTGAAGTGAAAGAGCGATATGTGAAAAGAATATAGAATTAGAATGATATTTAGGCATAAAGAGATATGTAAAAAAAATCGGATTGGGCAAATATTTTTAGTAATATATCTGTTGTTTCACGAAAATTTGATATCATAATAACCATTAATAATTCTTCGCGGCGTCCAGTTTTTTCGCATTCTTAGCTTATCTGGAATTTTGTAATGCGCAGACCGCAGTGCACCTTTGCAACGCCACGAAACAGCAGCTCTACCAGTTAGTGACATGGGCGAAGCGCATCCCGCATTTTACGTCGTTACCGGTGACGGATCAGGTACACCTGCTCAATGCTGGCTGGAACGAACTGCTAATAGCCGCCTTCTCCCACCGTTCTATTGATACGGAGGGTAGTATCATTCTGACAACAGGCACCGCGGTGCATCGACATTCGGCGCAACAGGCGGGTGTGGTCACAATTTTCGATCGCGTAATCTCGGAACTAGTATCGAAGATGCGCGAAATGAAAGTAGATAAAACTGAACTCGGATGTCTTAGGTGAGAACTAGCGACACTAATATTTAATTCTACTGATCTGTCAAAATTTGCTATACGATCACACTTGGATCAATATGATTAAAAAATAAGAGTTTTACATTAACAGAAGTTATTAAATAACAAAAAATTTTTTAATAAATTAGTAGTAAAATAATGAATTATCAATTAAAGTTGAATAGAACAACAGAGCATACGAGAATCTTTAGTAAGCTCTAACGATTCATTAGACATAGAATGAAAACTGAATGTCTATTATGCTTTGCCATTATACATTTTTCTTTTTCTTCTTAATACAAGCTGAATCAATTAACGAAATCAAATCAAATGATCTAATATTGATATCGTTTTTCGATATGCAGATCCATTATTCTCTTCAATCCTGACGTGCGAGGCATCAAGTCCATCCAAGAAGTCGGTCTGTTGCGCGAGAAGATTTACGCCGCTCTGGAAGAATACACCCGCGTGAGTTGTCCGAATGACCCTGGTAGATTCGCCAAGTTGCTGCTTCGCCTACCATCCATCCGTTCAATCGGTCTCAAGTCGGCCGAGCACCAGTTCTTTTACAAATTAATCGGCGAAGTGAGTGTCGAAAACTTCTTTGCGGAAATGTTGGAAACACCGTCGGATCTTTAGGAGCAGAAGGTGTGCCGCGTTTTGGGGCACACCGATTTGTAAAAAAGTAAAGAAAAGGACATAAGAGGACGTCGAAGAAGAAGACGATGACGACGAAAGAGGATAGGACCCGCATTCGAGTCGAGTTTCGCATTCGAGATGCAACGATTTCTGTACTGTGCCGCCTTTTCTCGTATCGCAGTATAGACTATCCGTGTGTCGAGCGAGGTGGAATTTACTTACTTCTCTTTATCGCCATCCCTATCTCCTCCCTTCCTTCTTTCCAGTTTTTCCCCTCGCCCTGTTATTTATGTTTTTGTTAGAGCTAGCGACTCTTATGTCCAGCGTAAGGAGGCGGTTTTACTGGCCGACGACGCGCAACGCACGTACAGAAAGATAGTGATGTAGTGCTATGACGATAGTAAGTGCGTGTATACACGTTTACGTTTTGTATGGCTTGTATACACGTACATTTGAGCACAATTTGAATATGGTAGATAACTACGATCTGCATAATACAAACTTCGATGTTGTCGATCGGTAATTAGTTAATTTCTCGAACCAGTTGAATTTGTTGCGATGATCAGATAGAGAATTTTCTATCTTTATTATAAAATATTATTAATCACAATCGCGCTGCCTCTTTAGTCTGCGACATGTGTCGTGCCATCATCCGAGCGAAGATCGTGTCTCACACGATGTTTCGTGCCGATCGATCCTTGTTTCGGACAGACGTCGCGTCTTCGTCAGATCGCACTTTTCACAGTCTCACAGAAGTTCCTAGAATTATTAAGTTTCTTTTTTTTATTTTTGCACTTTGTTACTTTTCGGACTCTCTTTTTTTATCTTTCTTGTCTCTACTCCTCGACAACGTCACCGATTGCTTCGGCGATCTCACTTTTGACGGCGGATGCTTGACGAAGACGCGATTTTGTCTGTGCTTGCGAGTTCTCGGACACCTTTACATTCCAACTCTGCCTCGATTCGGATCGTTACTTTAAAGAGCCACTATTTGCATATAGATATGTATACATATATACTTGCATCAATGCGTATCCCTTACGCTCAGTGCGCAAGTTTAACGATAATTTATTGTTTTGTATTTTAGATTATAGGAAAGAAACGAACTTACTAATTCAATATTAATTAAATTAAATATACGCATGATAAGCCCCCTTTTTTATGCAGCATGTGTCCATAATGAAGTATCAGAAGTGCAACAAATGTGACGTCGGAGCGTGCAAACGAAGTATTTACTTTCAAGGTGTTAGGGTTTTCGTTTATCTCTCTCTTTTTTTTTTTTATTTGGAAAAACGCACGCTCAGATATATACTCGGATCTTCATCGTTAATCTTTAACGTTTAGATTTAATGATATGACAAACTCTTACTAGGCGTATACTTTGCAGTACTGGAATGCTGCCTTTTGTATCCGGTACAAATTTGACATGGCAGCAAATAGAGTAGAGAGAGTATAGAAATTTTTTGTCATAATTTTTACAACAGTGAGATTTGTTTTTCTTTGTTTAATGTACGAAAGCAGGTAAAAACAAAGGTGCAGAAGCTCTTGAATCTTTGAGAAAAAAAAAAGAGATATTTGCGAGATCTGTAATTATATTATAAAAATTTAGCATACGCTAAGAATTAACTGATCATGGACACAGGATTAAGCTAGAACCCTATTCTCGTTGTTAGTAATTTACAGAATTGTGTATCACATGATGTGAGCTGATAGATCCGACGAATTTGTAAATTACATTAAGCAGAGCATCTTCAAATATGTGCTCAGCGACTTATTTTCTAAATTTAAATGTTATTAGATGTATAAAAATGTGTACAAAACGCGTATATATACATATATATATATTTTTCTCGAGACTGTTAATTATTATTCTATCTGTTAACTATTTCTACTTGTGGAGAAATTGAATTAACGAAATAATTTATGTGATAGTCAAATTTTAATAGTTTTACGTCAACATCATTGCGTTGACTCAGTTCTTCGTTTGGAAAAATTTTTAGATGTATAATATTGTATAATAATGATTTGTTTATTTAAGAGAGATACGTAAACGTTTACAATATTAGATTTATACGTATCCATATTTTTAACGAATTTATGAAGTTTGATAATTATAATTAATCATTAATGATGCAATTATGTTGTAAAATGAGAGCGTTCAGATGTATGTAAAATTATTTTTTTATTTTAAATAAAATTATTGAGAAATAACATTTCATTATTTTGCGAATGTTGTACAAAACATTTGATACTTTCCGGACTCTTTCAGCTCTAATCATTGATACGATTTACTCTACTACTCTAGAAATAGTAAGGGAATGATCATACTTACTTCAATAATATAAATTATGATAATATTATTGTATATTATTAAACATATTTCTATTTTTGCGTGAATGCCTACGATTGTTAGTTGTTGGTTATTGTTATCTACTTGATGAGAGTTTTTAATGTTATGCGTACCGTGGGAAACAAACACAATATTAAATTCATAATTTTTTTTATAACATGCTGGAGTTACTATTCATTTCAGATGCCTATTTTAGTATTTTTTAATTATTCAGGGAAGACGAGCTGTATTTAATGACGTATTAATACTGATGTGCAAGGAGCAATATCGAGTATGTAAATCGACTTTTTTAATTTCTCTTATTATTATATACGATTCAAGTCATTCTTGATTTTAAGTAGGGGCGCAGATTAAAGAGCAAGATTCTATTACCAAACTTATCGTTTGATTGTATAATTGTTACTTCAATACTTTTATTGACGAAGCACCTGACCAAAATTACCTCTGAACAATCGCGCGACTAGCGATCACCTCTTCAAATTCCTCACAAAATATAAAAACGATGCTGTAAGTGACCATTAAGATTGGAGGGCGCGAATGAAGCTACCTGTGAATGAAGTTTCATATAAATATATAAATGTTATAAAAAAAACGGAAATATATCTATACATATATATAAATAATATATGAATATATATAAACCGAATTCTTTCACAAATACAAATGCAACAACCTCAGTAGAGATCAGGAAAAAGAAAAAAAAAAGCGTTAACAAAGATAAATAACAGATTAAATGAGCTCTATGTCCTGCGATCAGATACATTATATAAGGTAAGAGGATTTTACAAGAGTGTGGTCTTTGGAATGCCGTGATGTTTTACTAAAGCATAATTAACACACTGAGCTTCTTTCGCGAAGCACCGTATCGGGAAAAAATGCTGGATCGTGTGTGTGTGTGTGTGTGTGTGTGTGTACCGAGTATACTTTATTATGAAACTTAAACTGCTTTTGCCATACTTCTTTGAAGTATCATTGAAATGGTACGATGCTCAAATCGTGTGTAGTAACAGTCTTATCTAGTAACAGTGTCCTAGAGTGGAAGAATTGGGTGCGCTGTGTAATCTTTCTCTGTACAGTAGAACAGCAATCGATGCATTTTATTTTCGTATCTATTGTATCCCTTTTACTTTTATGTCTTGTACTTATTCAAATTCTGGATATACACTTTTGGTTGCATGCTGTTCCTTTCTCTTTCTCTCTTTCACTCTGTCCTTTCAATAATTTCAACATTTGATTAATACACTTCAACTTACAAAATCCTAACTTCTGTCACTGTAGTATTTAAAGAGCAAACGACAGGGCATCTTGTCATAGCATACCAAGACCCTTTCTCTACGCACCCATTCTACATAGATCAGTACAAATAAGTTTAATAATAATAATAATAATAGTAATAAATAACAATAATAATGATAATAGTAATAATGGTACCGATAATGTTAATAATATACCGTTTACTCTTATCAAGCGCGTAAGGTATACTCAACTTAACAAGAAAAATAGTAGCAGGTGTCCTACTAAAAATACCGTACCTTTAACGAGCTAAACTGTAAGCCAGTATATTACAATCTATGTATAAACGTCGTACAATTTACGTATGGGCAATCTCTAATTAAGAAAGTTAATAAGTTAACTCTTGTATGACTGCCATTATGATCAAATATTATTTCGAATAATTATCATAAAATGCGATACTCCGCGGAGAAAATAGGTCATTTTTAATTATTTCTTCTGACCCGCGCAGAAGAGAAAGTGCACATTTATATATATGTGCGAGCAACGCACGCAAACGTTTGTTAATAATTTCGAGTTAGAGACTATTCTCTCGCGCGAGGACGACAAGAGATATTTAAATATCGTAGACGACACTAGAAAAACACTCCGATTGCAAAGCCGATTGGATACGTGAATTGTAATTGTATTGTCGATAAATGTTGAATGTAACATTCCACTTTACGGATAATCATTAATCGACGCGCATACGAATGCCTATAAAACGTCACTTTTTCCTTTCTTTTCTTTTTCATACACAAATCTCCGATATGATTCACCTACCGATATGATTCGCTACCGTTTCGTAGAATTTTTTAAAGTACCGCGATTTTGATGTCTCCCGCTTGCGTTACGGAGGGATGAGCCGTATTGTACGATACTCTGTCGCAAATTTGATATTAATTTATTTTTCACTGGCTTTAATAACACTATATATGGTTGTGCTCCGTAGATAGCAAAGCAATATAGTTAATTATATGTATGTGCACATGATATATATAACACATTTATAATATATATCTACATGTATATTAATATATTATGCATATTTATAATATATTATATATTTATTATATATATTATATATACATATATATTTTTTATGTGCATGTATGTATTTATGTACATCCTTCAAGAGTCCAATTTTATCTTTTTAAGCTGTAAGTTACAGTTTTTTTAAGTTATATAATGAGACGTTTCTTGATTTGCGCATCCATTGTAGATTACGAAAACATCTGTCTACATACTTATACTATATTTACTACTAAACTATTAAGAAATACGCTTTTGTAAATGTAAAACGTACATCTTTTTTCAAATATATATAACGATACGGCAATGTGCAAAGTATCACGTAGGGAGGCGTCGACTTCTCAGGTGAGGAGAGCGAATGTGTTTTAGGACGAATAAGAGTAATATATTCACACAGAAAGCGAGATGAGGGTATATAAAATAAAATATGTAGAAATGTAAGAGAGAGAGAGAGAGAGAGAGAGAGAGAGAGAGAGAGAGAGAGAGATAGAAGAGGTAAGAGAGAAAGAGAGAGAGACTGAGAGTAAGAAAGGATGAGAAATTGTTGAGGGCAAGCATGTGCAAAACGAGGGGAGTGATGCTATGAATGTACTTGTACAACAGTATGGCTAGTAACAATCCCTGAGTAAAGAAATATAATGTACGGTTTCGCGCCAAGAGATAGATCGTCTATTCTGACTTATCTAAATATAATATTTTTATGAACTGAAAAACTCATATTTTTAAATCATTTACAGACCCACCCTCTAAATTTTTACTCACATTGTGTGCTTATGAGGAAGTAAATGAACCACGATCGATTGGATTTTCCTTTTCGCAATATATTTATTATCTATTATTAGAGGCAGACAGATTTTGTGAATCATACTTCTACTTATGAA